GCAAGCCAGTCAACATGCGGTTGAGCCAACCACCCAGCGAAGCAAACAACCAGCCTTATCCTCCTCCTCCTCCTCCTCTTCTTCCTCCTTCGCTCCTCCTCGAGAATTGTGAGGACTTCTGGGGGTTGTGGGGGGCTGCCTCTTGGGCCCTCTGGGGATGTGTCTGGGCCCTCTCGGGGCCCCATGAACTGTCTCGCACGTTTCGCCTTCGGGTGTCCTTTTGGCCTGTATTCGGGGCCGCATGGGATGTACAGACATGTTGTTTTTTTGTGTTTTATTGAAACCAATGGAACACCGGCCCTCGCCGGAGCCACCCAGGATTGGCGCCGACGAGCCGAACCCAGTGCTCCTTGCGAGGCTCCCGCCGGCGGAATCAGACCTCGGGGGAAGGGAGACAAACGCCGAGAAAACAAGAAGCTCAGCTGCTCCTTCCCCGAGCTCCCGCACTCGGGCGGGGCCAGGACGAGGAGAAGTGCGTTCCAGAGCGTTCCAGAACGCTCTCAGAGCGTTCTGGAACGCTCTGGGAAGGCTGCGGCGCCCGATACTTAATCCAGAGCCGCCGGATCTCAGAGATTCTCGATGTATATTCACCCGAATTTGTCTTCGTCCTGGCGTCGCCCTGCGCACTCGGCTGGCCGCCACCCCAACCTTTTTGGGGCATGTGCGTACCGCGAAAGCTGTGTTAGCAGGCACGCGAAAAGCCACAGCGGAACAGGGCCCTTTGGGCATCCGCACATCTTGCAGCCACCTGTGGCGACTCACCGTGGCGAGAGAGATGCAGCTGCGGCCAGCGGGTGCCAGGGAGGGAGGAGGAGGAGGCAGGAGGGAGGAGGGAGGTTGATCGAACGTCGGCATGGGCGTCTGGCCGTGTAAAAGAGGAGGGAGGAGGCAGGAGGGAGGATGGAGGCGGAGGAGGAGGGGGAGGGGAGAGAGGTAGGCAGGGAGAGAGGAGGAGGAGAGAGGGAGGAAGGTGGACGGAGGGAGGGAAGGAGGGAGGAGGAGGGAGGAGGAGGAGGAGGAGGGGGAGGAGGAGAAGGAGGGGGGGAGGAAGGAGGACGGGGGAGCAGGGCCAGTGCCAACCCAAGAGTGATCAACAATGTTGGAATAAACCCTCCCTCCAAGCTCCCTCTTCATAGGCCCGTATACGGATTCATTTCCACTCAAGGAAGTGCCCCGTTGGGTGACAACCGTTTGAAGATCCTGAGGCGCGCCAAAAATCCATTATCAGGATTTCAACGCCACGAGTCGACCGGACTGTTGCGTATTGACGATCCGTATTCGTGCCAGCACACCAGTCCTGGAAATTCAATAGTTTTAATACCTTGGCAATCCTGAATTGTTCCAAAACACCGTTGCTGGGACGTTAACCCTGGGAGCTCGTGAACCTCTGTGCGCGACGCTAATGGCGAGGGCCCCATGTTGAAAACGGCCCGCCCTCAATACGTGAAGATCTTGCAATGCTTCAAGACGAGCGTTTGCGGCGCGCAGGCGCGAGCCACATTTTGAAAACGGCCCGCCCTCAATCCGTGAAGCTCCTGCACATGTTTAAGACGAGCATGCGCGACCATAAGGCGAGGGCCGCATTTTGGAAGTGGCGCCCCCTCCATCCGTGAAGCTGTTACCAGTTCTTCAGTTTGAGGATCATGAGTGGTGAGGGAGTCTGCGGCAAAACGCCCAGCCCGCCCTTCCGACTGGCCTCGGGGTGCGACATGGAGGAGTTATTCGCAAGGAAAAGCAATGGAGGGGGAGGGGGAGGGAGGGAAGAGGACGGAGGAGGAGGAGGAGGGGGATGATGATGATGAGGAGGAGGAGGAGGAGGAGGAGGATCAGTGTCAACCCAAGAGTGATCAACGATGTTGGAATAAACCCTCCCTCCACGCTCCCTCTTCATAGGCCCTACATCGGCTCATTTTCATTGGGGGAACTGCCTCGTTGGAATACAGCCGTTTAAAGACCCTGAAGCATGCCAAGTCATTGTTCTCGGAATTTCAACGCCACGGATCAACCTGACTGCTGGGTCTTGACGATCATCGTGTCAGAACGCCGCTTTGGGGACTTCAACACAGCAAGTCAACATAACGATTGCGCTCGCGTAATCCTGAATCCTTCCAAACCACAATTTATGGTACGTTGACTATGGGAATACATGATATTCTTCCAGATGTTGCGAACGAACGTGCGCGGTGCTAAGGCGAGAGTCACATTTTGAAAAGGAACCGCCCTCAATCCGTGAACCTCCTACAAACTTTCAGAATAAATGTGCGCGGCGCTGAAGCGAGAATCACATTTTGAAAATGAGCCGCCCTCAATCTGTGAAGCTCTTGCAACTTTCCAGAACGAATGTGCGCGGCGCTAAGGCGAGATCCACATTTTGAAAACCACCCGCCCTCAATTCGTGAAGCTCCTGCGAATGCTTAAAACGAATGTGCGCGGCGCTAAGGCGAGAGCCACATTTTGAAAACCACCCGCCTTCAACCCGTGAAACTCTGGCTACCTCTGAATACGAAGATGCGCGGTGCGAAGGCGAGAGCCACATTCTGAAAACCACACGCCCTCCACCTGTGAAGCTGTTGTTTTTTTTCACGCTTCAGAGTCATTGGTGGTGAGGAAGTCAGGCGAAACGCCTGGCCCGCCCTAAAAACTGGCCTCGGGGTGCGACAGGGGGAAGCTATTTAGAAGGAGAAGGAGTGGAGGAGGCGGAGGAGGAGGAGGAGGAGGAGGGGGGAGAGGGGGAGGAATATGAGGAGTTGGTTTTCTGGTGTATTGGTTGACTGGTGCATGGAGGTGGAGGTACGTTCGGACCCCTCCCTGCAGCCGTCTTCGTTGGCCGAGGGGCTGCAGGGAGGTCCTCGGCCCCCTCCATTGGCTATTGACGCCGTAAAGTGTTGGTGTATTGGTGCATTGACGGGAGAGGGCGACCCCAGCGGCCACTATGATGGCAGCCGCAGGGGGTGTGAGGCCTATGATGGTCCTCACTGGTGAGGCCGATGGTGGTCCTCACAGGGGTGGGGGTGGGGGAAGAGGGCAGGAAGTCGAAGCGGATGTCCGGCAACAACGTCTTGGGGGGATACCTGAAAAGGGGACTTAAAAACAACGTCTGTCCTCCGCCTATGTTCCAGAGGAGCCCCATACAAAGAGCAGAAGCAAAGAGAGAGAGGGAGAGAAGAGAGAGAAGGAGAGAGAAGAGAGAGAGAGAGAGAGAGAGAAGAGAGAGAGAGGGAGAGAGGGAGAGAGAGAGAGAGAGAGGCAGAGACGAGGACAGATGTGCACGCCTCGGGGGGGGTCCACACAGATTTCGTATCACAAAATAGCTGGCAGCGAAGCTCCTTCATGACACCCCGGGAGCGTGCAGCGGCAGGGACGCACCACCTGGAGCGCGAAAGCGAAACGTGGTGACGTTAACACGGCCGAAGCCCGGTGACCAGAGGAGGCCCCCAAGAGGCCTCCAAGGGTCACAGGCCGGAGGTAGCCACAACCTGCATTCCCGTAGGTGCGATGTTTGTCTCCGCAGGCACGGATGGACCGGTACACCCGAAAGCACGGAGGAGGAGGAGGAGGAGGAGTAGGAGGGGGAGGAGGAGGAGGGGGAGGAGGAGGGGGAGGGGCGCAGGAGAGGCCTCTCCCCGGCCCCGGCCCCGAAGAGCCTCCCCCAGACCAGGGGCGGCGCCCCGGCGGCAAAGTCCCCGACCGACAGTCCGGAGTCGCCGAGGGCGCAGCACAGCGCACCCTCCGCCGCGGCGCCGGCGGCGCCCGGCGCAAGCGCCAAATCCCAAATCCCTGACGACACGAAGTGGACGCCGTTGCGGATGCAAGTCCCGAGTCCCTTACACCTGACGACACGAAGCGGGCCTCGAACGCCTGGCGGCCTGTTCCGGCTGGCTCAGGACTTTGGGCTGTGACCCCCTTCTGATCCTGTCAAGGTACTCACGCTTGGTCTTATTCAATTTACCCGTGCAGGGGCTCTTGAGGGATCGCAAAACCTTATCTGCGATCCCCCCGCACTGGGTACAGAACCACACCTGGAGGGACTTGTGTACATTCAACGTGTGAGTACTATGTGCCCAGCCCCCCGCGATATGGATTATATCCCCTTTGAGGGGAGAGAAACTGACCCCATCAACATTAAACAACCTAGGGCACGGGGAGCCAACCCATTCTCTTAGTGTAGCTTGAGTGGCCGACCCGAAACAACTCAGACATCGTTTCTGGCAGTCTGCCACGGAGTGGGGCGAAAAGAGAGCCGCAACAGCAGCAGCAGCAGCAGGAGGGGGCGGGAGAGGAGGGGGAGGAGGTGGAGGAAAAACCTCAGGCCTACTCAGTCTAGCCGTCCTCTCAGCTTCCGTCGTCGCCGTAATACTGTCCATCGTAGCTCTCAGAAGTCGCATTCTGACTACGTACGCTCTACGCTCGTGCAACAAAACTCTTGTTCGAATACTTTAGGGCACACGCACACGGTTGGCTGCATAACCCGCAAACTCGTCAGCGATCAAACTTCCAATAACAAGACTCCGAAAACATGTGCCAGCCACAGTATCCTCAGCATTCATATGGGAGTGTGTCCACAAAACAACAACATGACTCACAACACGTGTTCTCATCACCTCACCAATCTTATTCCATATGTCAGCATCCTCCCCGTCTGGGGACACATACCTACCGTCATACCATCCTTTCGCCACTAGTTCGCAATCCGTCACGAATGTAACAAAGTCGGAGGCACACCACAACGCTAGGTACAGGGCAGAAGGGGGAGGGAGGGAGAGAGGGAGGGAGGGAGGGAGGGAGGAGGAGGGGGGAAGGGAGAGGGACGGGGGGGGAGGAGGAGGGAGGAGGGGGAGGAATGAGGAGGGAGGAGGGAGACAGGGAGGAGGAAGAGGAGGGAGGAGGGAGGAGGAGGGAGGAGCGAGGGAGGAAGAGGGAGGGAGGAGGATGGAGGAGGAGGGGGAGGGAGGGAGGGAGGGACCCCCCCCCCACGGCAGTCCGCGGGCGGCGCGCCGCAGGCGTGACGGGCGGACGCCGGGTTTCACTCGTGGCCAGGGTGCTGGACTTCCGGGTGGACGTCGACGAGGCAGGGCCCCCCCCCCCCCTATTCCGAGGTGGGGAGGGACCACTGCGACACCATGAGGCAGGGCTCGACCTAAACTTTTTTGGGCGATCTCGTGGGCCGTTTTCGTTTTGATTTTGTTCTCCAAATCGGCTTGCCCCTGTAGGAGTTCTAATTCAAACCCTACTAATTGGTCCGTTGCCCCCCCTACCCCCCCTCCTCCCCTAGTTCCTATGCCCCCCCTAATTCCTATGGTCTTGCTTGCTTGCTCTTGCGTGCTTGCTCTGCTTCTCTGATGCTTGCTTGCTCTTGCCCCCAACCCCTACCCCGTGCTTCCTAATGCTTGCTTGCTCTTGCGTGCTTGCTCTCGTTTGCTTGCTCTTGCTTGCCCTTGCTTGCTTGCACTTGATCGCTGGCTCTTGCTAGCCTGTTCTTGCTCGCTTGCGCTTGCTTGCTTCCGCTTGCTTGCTTGCACTTGCTTGATTTTGCTCCTCCCGTACTGCTCCCGTCCTCCTTTCGTCCTCCTCCAATTCTCCTCTCGTCCTCCTCCTGTCCTCCTATCTATTTGGAGTCAACGCTGGCTGATACTTTTCTTCAAAGGCGGAACGAAGACAGAGCGACGGAAAATGAAAACAAAACGAACACGACAAACACTGTTTAGCTCGAGCCCTTCCAGGTGGGGGAGAAATCGCTGCGACACCAGGATAGGCGTTTTCGAGCTGGTGCTGGACTTCCGCGTGGACGTCGACGGGGAAGGGGGGCCCCTCCTGTTCCTGGGGGGGATTTTTTGCGATACCATGAGATAGGACGGCTGGGCGTCTTGGGAGCTGGTGCTGGACTTCCGCGTTGACGTCGACGAGGCAGGGGGGCACCTCCTGTTCCGAGGGGGGAGTTTTCTCGAGAGGCTTACGCCATTCTGGCGACCCCCAGAAGAGGCGGGGAGTTCACGTTTGAGGCGTCGTGGTCTTCTTGGGCATTCTTTGGGGACTCTTGTTGGCGTCTTGGGAGCTGGTGCTGGACTTCGGGTGGACGTCGACGAGGAAGGGGTCCCCCTTTCTTCCGAGGGGGCAGTTTATACCAGACGGGGCTAGGACGAGGATAAACCCGTTCCGAGCGTTCCGGAACGCTCTGAGAGCGTTCCAGACCGCTCCGAGAAGGCCGCTGCTCCAGGCATCCTCCAGAACCGCCAGATCTCAGAGATTCCCGATGTGTCCTCACTCGATTTTATCCTCGTCTTGGCTTCGTCTTGTTATGCATAACCGCCGCCTGGGGGATCGATCTTCGGGGACCTCGCGGTGGGATGTGTAGATCTTCGGCACCCCTGGGGCCAAACTATATTCACATTTACCGCCCGCTGGGGTCCAGGACGTCGGTTCCCCAGGCGGTGGATAGGGATCTATCCCCGCCTCGCACCTGTAGTTGTGCTGCTCGTGCGCCACCCTTGCACGACTGTGGCGAGGAGGTGCGGGGTCGCATGGGCTGCTGGCATGTGCGAGCCCCTTCTCCACGCAAGCGCGCAGCTCTCACGGCGCGCGCGTCCTTGGGCAAGAGGCGCCCGATCAGGACGGGTGCACTCGGCCTGTGGGAGTGGGCGCACGGAGTGTTACACCGCAGAGAGACCATACTTTGCAGTTTGAATTTGGGCAAAAAAGTAACACGGGCTTGTCACTTTTGGGCGTTGCAGAGATGGCAAACCAGGCCCCCCCACACAGTTCGGGGGCAACGTTCGGGGGGTATGGGCTCAATGGGGCCGCACCGGCCCCCAATTCCCCGCTCATCGCCGATAGGGGCCCGATAGCCCACCCTGCCCATGAGCGCGCGGATTCTCTTACCGGGGCCTACTGCCGATCTATCGGTGACGTATCGCCGATCCAAGCTCGGTGTTTCTTCTCCTGAGATGAGTCCCCCCCCCCAGGGGCTGATGAATAGATCCCGCAGGGCGCCACACCGTTTTTTGGTTCACTCGCGCCAGGGGGTCGTCGCTGGCGCCGCCGAGGGGATCGTGTACCCACCTTGCATGACAGCCTCAAAACGATTGCCTTTCGTACAGCGGTGTTATATGGTTCGCACACATCCGAGGCGAATGTTTCTTCGTCGTCGTCTTCTTCGTCGTCCTCGTCGTCGTTTTCGTCGTCGTCGTCGATTACAGCGGGCCTGCGCAGCACCCACACCCCCCATAGGGCATCCGCAGTGCATCGTCGTCGTCATCTCATCTTCGCCGTCGCCGTCGTCGTCGTCGTCGTCAACTACAGCGGGCCTGCGCAGCACCCCTTCCGTTCACCCCATAGGGCATCCGCAGTGCGTCGTCGTCGCCGCCGTCGCCGTCTGCCGTCCGCCGTCCGTCGTCGTCGTCGTCGTCGTCGTCGTCGTCGTCGTCGTCGTCGTCGTCGTCGTCGTCGTCGTCGTCCTTATCCTCGTCCTCGTGCTTGTCCTCGTCCTCGTCCTCGTCCTCGTCCTCGTCTTCGTCCTCGTCGTCGTCGTCGTCGTCATTGTCGTCGTCGTCGCCGACGACTGCAGAGACCACGACAGACGGGGGGAGGAGGACTGCCCGCCTAGTTCGGTTCGGACGAGAGGTTGAAGAAGGAAAGGGTGGGGTGCGAAACCTGCTGCGCGCAACTGGTTTCGGTCGCACCGCCGAAGGGCCACTCCTTGATGCATAGCTGCTTTCGGCGCCAGGGAGCGCTCGGAAAATCAGTAGTGTGAGTTGCTGGGCAAAATCACAGCTTGGCCACGCCCCCTTTTCGTCCAGCCCGCCTTACTCGCGGGCCCGCGAGGCAGCTGGCGCCCCCCCTGTTGCGGCCAGGGCAGACGAACCGCATCGGTTCGACTGAAAAGAGCACGGGAGGTGCGGTGGCGAGCGCCGACAACAGTTCTTCTTCATTTCGAACAAGTGTCGCCCTGGCTCACGGTCCCTGGTTTTGTCGCCTTTGCCTCCCGCCCCCCTCCCCTCCCCAAGTCTGTGTTGTCAGTCGCGTTCTCGCTGGTGGCTGGGCGTCGGCGCTAACCACCGGCGCCGCCGCCGTTGATTTTTCAATCTGGCGGGCGCCACCTCGCGATTCGTCCGAGCAGGGAAACTATTTTTTCAAACGCGCCCCCGCACGGATTTGTGAATTACGAGCTGACATCGTCGTTGCTTTTCAACAGTTCGGGGGCGTCGAAGCGGCGGGTGGGGGCATTTCGTCGTATTGCGGGGGGAGGCGATATTCGTTGACTAGGAGGTATTCTCGCTTCCAGGTGGTTTCTAGCATTTGCGCCTCGACGGGATTTTCCCGGTGGCCCGAGTTATGGCCCGAACCGCACCAGGCGTCGATGAGGATGGCGAGGAGAGGCGCGTGGATATCGAGACCAAACCTAAAACAGATTTCGGATTTCATGGCCACCCCTCCTTCCTTCAACGCGCCCCCTGCCTACCCCCCTTGGTCCTCGCGCATATACCTTGGATCATGATGCGCGAATCCCCTTTCCATGGCCCCCTTCCACTTCGGCGCACATGGCAACAGGGAGAGGGATACGGCGGGGGTGCTGGCGAAGGTCTCGCCTCTGTGCTAACATTCTCGTCGTTTTCTGGCGGTTTTCTTACTCCGGGCTGCATTCTGCGCCTCGCCAGGAGCGTCCTTTGGGTGCCCGAGTCAGATCGTTTGCCAGTGGGCCCGGATTTCGGCCCGAAGTCCACGCAACCAACTACTTGAACTAATCAATGCAGTTGATCAGCTTTTGGGGGTCTCCAAGGCCCAGCGGGGGCCGTCAAAAACGACTCGAGATGAGAAGCGGGCTTTGGGGAACAGGTCGAGACTTCCGGGGACCCCGTGTCGAAGAAATCAAGGAATAAGATACCTGAGGAGGAGGAGGAGGAGGAGGAGGAGGAGGAGGAGGAGGAGGAGGAGGAGGGAGGAGGAGGGAGGAAAAGGGAGGAGGAGAAGGAAGAGGAGGAGGAGGAGGAGGAGGAGGACGGACAGAGCAAGCCCATGATGCAACAGCAATGCTGCAAAATGCCCTCCCTTTCCAAGTTCCTTTCTTTTTCAAAATAAAAAACCCTACAGATCAAGCGTTCCTCTTGACAACATTAAGCGCCCCATTGAAGAACAAGCTCATCATCGGCCCACGATTTCAGGCGAAATCCTTGTTTTGAGGAGGGAATTCTGCGCATATATCTTAGCCAATGAGCAGGACCGCGGCAAGGTAGGAAAAGAAAACCCAGCGAGGTGTCCATCGAAAACTCCGTTTTGTAAATGAACCGCCCCTCATCCGTGCACCTGCTGAGCAAGTTTACATTCACTTCGGGTCACACGCCCGCAGGAGGCATATGCGAGAGCCGAATGCCGTAAAGGATCTGCCCCGCATCTTTGTAACTGTTGTAAATTTGAGGTCGAATGTATACCGAGCTAGGGCGACAGCTTCAATTTGAAACATACGTCATCCAGTATTGCATATGTTGCGAACGTTTCAGAAGAATGCGCGCGGTGCTAATGCGAGATCCCCATGTTTGTAAAAGACACGGTCTCCGCCGTGTAAGTGTTGCACGGTTTTGCACATGTTGCGTTTGTTGAGAATGTCTTCGGGGAGACCCCATTTTGAAAACGAACTGGCCCCCATCCATGTAAGTGCTTCAAGCTGTCAAGGCGAACGCGTGCGGCGCTAAGGCGAGAACCCATTTGAAAAGAACCCGGCCTTCATCCGTGAACTTGTTGCATGTTTGTATGACGAATGCGCGCGGCGCTAAGGCGAGAGCCCGATTTCAAAAAAGGACCCGACCTATGGGCTGGCCTACGGACATTTTTAGTAGTGCGACAGGGACGGATTATTTAAAATGGACAGGGGTTGATGATGAGGGGGGGGAGGAGGAGGAGGAGGAGAAGGAGGAGGAGGAGCCGGAGGAGGAGCAGGAGCAGGAGCAGGAGCAGGAGCGGGAGCAGGAGCAGGAGCAGGAGCAGAAGGAGCAGGAGGAGGAGGGGTATCCGCGGTTCTGTAGGTTCGGCCGCTTCGCAGTCGGCCGAATGCTGTCGGTGGCCGTGCCGCTGTGTCTTTCTGGGCTGAGGATGAGGGTGTTGTTCACCCACGACGGGGAGGATGAGGAGGAGGAGAAGGAGGAGGAGGAGAAGAAGGAGGAGGCGGAGGCAGTGGAGGGAGGAGGGAGGAGGGAGGAGGGAGGCGGGAGGCGGGAGGCGGGAGGCGGGAGGAGGGAGGAGAGAGGAGGGAGGAGGGAGGAGGAGGGAGGAGGGAGGAGGGAGGAGGGAGGAGGGAGGAGGGAGGGGGAAGGGGGGGAGGGGGGAGGGCAAGCTAGGTGCGCTCGCGTCATATCTGACGTCCTACCCCTCCCTCCCATCCCTTACCATTGCGTAAATCTCCTCTCTATTCGCACAGTCGGATGTCGTAGCATGGCGTAGCATCACATGGCATAACATGGCGTTGAAGATCAAAGCGTAGCGTGACATCGCATTGCGTGGCGAGTCCCCAAGCAAGTGGGGGGGGCGGCCCCCAAATCCAACGAATCGACACCAGATGTGTAACCACTTCCGATAATTTTTTTCGGGAGGCAAGTTTTAAGATTTTGAGGCCCATTTGGAAGGACCGAAAACATGCCGTGGCATGGCACTGGAAATACTGACGTCATCGCTGCAGCGGGAGCACGATTCGGGACGAGCGGAAGCGCGGAAATGATGCCAGCGCTGCAGCGGGAGCATGATTCGGAACGAGCGGAAGCGCAGAAATGAGGCCAGCGCTGCAGCGGGAACACGATTCGGAACGAGCGGAAGCCTGAAAATGAGGCCAGCGACTCAGCGGGAGCAATATGTTGAAACAAAACTCAAGCGAAAACCCGTTCCCCGGGAATCTTGTACGTTCAAAACAGTACGCGGAGGGGGGCCGGATATCTTCCGGACGTTATCAGGGGAGAGGAGAGTAGTATTCATATTGTGTCATTGTGGATGGGGGAAGGGCAATTTAGGTGCGCTCGCGTCATATCTGACGTCCTACCCCTCCCTCCCATCCCTTACCATGGCGTAGATCTCCTCTCAATTCGCAAAGTCGGATGTCGAACAGGGCCATGATCCCGAGGGGGGCGCGATGCATCGGAGAGCACGGCATAGCATGGCGTAGACAAGCATGGCAGAGGGTAGTATGATATAGCATGGCGTGGCGTTGGGTAGTGCAGAATTGCATCACACAACGTTGCAACACAAATAACGGCATCGCACAGCGGCACCTAACAGAACAGCATGGCATAACATGGCGTTGCATTGCGTAGTCAAGCATCGCATATCCTAACATTGCAGCTGAAGGCATGGCATCGCACAGCGGAGCACCACACAACATTGCATTGCATGCCGTGGCAAGGCACTGGAAATCACGACGCCATCGTTGCAGCGGGAGCACGATTCGGGACGAGCGGAAGCGCAGAAATGATGCCAGCGCTGCAGCGGGAGCACAATTCGGAACGAGCGGAAGCGCAGAAATGAGGCCAGCGCTGCAGCGGGAGCACGATTCGGAACGAGCGGAAGCCTGAAAATGAGGCCAGCGACTCAGCGGGAGCAACAGTTTGTAAAACACGCAAGCGAAAACCCTACTTCCAGGAATCTTGTCTGTAGAAAAAGAGTACGCGGAGGGGGGGCGAATCTTATCCAGACGTCACCAGGGGAGAGAGGAGAGTAGTTTGTGTAATTTTGGAGGACGGGGAGGAAGAGGAGGAAGAATAGAAATTATCCGAGTCAGAAAAAGAACAGTAATTTTAACAAGATGAGCGAGACGAATAAGAAGACTCACACTACTCATAATACTGACAATCACCACACTAACATGACTTGAACTAAAAAGGCGATGCATAAGCATCATCATAAGCATGTGAGTAGTAACCTTATTACGATATAGCCGCAATAATCATAGTACTACGCATAATAAGCACAGCTAATAGTAACACGACGATTGATACATAATGAGAATAGCAATACCAATAGTAGTAAGACTAACAACTATACTGATACGAATAAGGGGGATGCCACATTATTATTCATAACAATAATATTGATAACGGAACAGTGCGACGAGACCATAGTAGTAAGACAATTAATATTGATTTTAATACGAATCATCCGACTAGTAACGCTAGAATGCGAATAATAATACGAAGATGATTGTGATGACGATGATGATGATGATGATGATGATGATGATGATGATGATGATGATGATGATGATGATGATGATGATGATGATGATGATGATGATGATGATGATGATGATGATGCTGATGGTGGGTGGTTGGTGGTGGTGGTGTGTGGTGATGATGATGATGATGATGATGATGATGATGATGATGATGATGATGATGAGGAGGAAGGAGGAGGAGGAGGAGGAGGAGGAGGAGGAGGAGGAGGGAGGAAAGGAGGAGGGAGGAGGGAGGCGTAAGGAGGGGAGGGGAAGGAAGGGAGGGAGGGAGGAGGGAGGAGGGAGGGAGGGAGGAAGGGAGGAAGGGAGAAGGGAGGGAAAGGGATTAAGGTGGAAAGGGAGGAAAAGGGAGGAAGGGTGGGATAGGAGGAAATGGGGAAAGGGAGCAAGGGAGGAGAGGAGGCGGAGGAGAGGAATGCGGGGGAGGAGAAGGAAGGAGGCTAGAGAGGAGGGGGTAGAAGGAAAGGGGAAGATGAAGGAAGAGGAGGAGGAGGAGAGAGGTGGAGGAGGAGGAGGAGGAGGAGGAGGAGGGATGAGGAGGAGGAGAAGAGAGTAGGACGAGAGGAGGAGAGGAAGGAGGAGCAGGAGAAGGAAGGAGAGGAAAGGGGAGGAGTAGGAGGAGGAATAGGATCGAGGATCGAGGAGGATGAGGAGGACGAGGAGGAGAAGCAGGAGGCGGAGGATTGAGGAGGAGGGAGGAGTAGGATCGAGGAGGAGGAGGAGGAGGAGGAGGAGGAGGAGGAGGAGGAGGAGGATGCGGAGGAGGAGGGGGCGGAGGAGGAGGAGGAGGAGGAGGAGCAGGAGGAGGTTGCATGGCTCTCCTCCCTCCTCCGAGTTCGGCATACTCAGCTTTCTCGTTGCCCCTGCGGGCTAATCCTATACCGCCTGTCTTCACTGCCCTGCATGTTTGCTTTGCTGCCATGTTCGGTTACCAGTCCTACCAGGCTGTGTCGCCTGAGTCGTTTTTGCTGTCCTCTCGCAGACGCCACGGCGCGTCGTTTGTCAAAGCCCGAGCAGCGCAAAAGGAGGAAGGGGTCGACGATCGAGGCCGATGTTCTCGGACATTCGTAACCCCGCTGGGCCTGGCCTCCCGCGCGGCTCGAGACGAGGAGCTCCAGAGCTGGATACTGTTCTTCGCGACGGTCTCGGCGCTGTGGCTGTTCTGCCTCCCGTTCTTCTGCGAGGCGGGGGGGGCGGGGGGGTGCTCCTCGTCCTCCCTCGTTCTTTTCCTCCCCCCTCCTCCGTCGAGAGACGGGGTCTTACATGCGTGTCCACCGCCGCCTGGGGCGACGTTCCTGGCCCTCGCGAGGCGGACATGGGTGTCGATTCGAATGGGCGCCTTTTAGGTACGCTGGGAGGAGGTCGGGGGAGAAAGGGGGCACGATACCCTCCTTCGGACAGTTCCCCCCCGGCTCCCCCTCTCAAAAGTTAAAGTCTGGGAGTGGGAGGGGGGGGGTCGATCCCCCCCCTCAAAAGTCGTTGAGGGTGTGGTTCGATCCCCCTCCACCTGGGGCGCTGGCAAACGACGACGACGACGACGACGACGACGAGGATGACGACGACGACGACGTGTCCGGCCGCTCGACCGACTCGCTCATGACAACGTGTCCAACCCAAGATCCCCAGAGAATGCAAACGAAACGACGACGACGGCGACGACGACGATGACGACGACAACCACAACGACGACGACGACGACGACGACGACGACGACGACGACGACGACGACGACGACGACGACGGCGGCGGCGGCGGCGGCGGCGGTGGCGTCATGTCCCGCCCGCCCGCCCGACCGATTCGTCCGCGATGCCCGCCCGCCCGCAGGACTGAGGGATTCGCCCACGACGACGACGGCGACGGCGACGACGACGACGCCCGTCGCGACGACGACGACGACGACGGCGACGGCGGCGGCGAAGTCGCCTCGTCGTCTTCGTCGTCGACGCCTTTTGCCCGCGGCGAGAGGGATGGGGCGTGGGGCGGTTCGATCCCCCCGTCCCACTTTTCGGGCGGGGTGGCGGTGTTCGACTCCCCCACCCCCCACCGGCCTGCTGAGGGGGGGGTGTTCGCCGTGGAGGGGGGAGGGGGGCTCCAGCTCCAGAGGGAGGGAGGGAGGGGTGGTTCTCGGTGGGGGGCGTTTCCCTTCGAAGGCTTCGCGAGCGGAGCGCTCACAGAGGTCACGCTCTCTCGCTCGGGCCGCCCGCTCGGTGAGCCTCATGGGGATGATCGGGGCGACCGCGCGGGCTCCTGGGGCTCGGGCCGTTCTCCGAGGATGCCTCCCGCCTCCTCCTCCTCCTCCTCCTCCTCCTCTTCCTCCTCCTCCTCCTCCTC